CTCTCTCCCTCTCTCCCTCTCCCTCTCTCCCTCTCTCCCTCTCTCCCTCAAAAAAAAAAAAATTCCAGCCAGGCACAGTGGTGCATGCCTGTAAATCCCATTGACTCAGGAGGCTGAAGCAGGAGGATTGAGAGTTTTGAGAGTTCAAAGCTACAGTGAGACACTAAGTAACTCAGTGAGACCCTGTCTCTAAATAAAATACAAAATAGGGCTGGGGTGTGGCTCAGTGGTTGAGGGCTCCTGAGTTCAATCCCTGGTACCAAAAAAAAAAAAATTCCAGTCAGTGGAAAAGAAATGTTAAATAATAACACCTTTCTAAAACCACAGTGAAGTAATGCATCTAGGCATTGGCACAGTTAGCTTTCTGTTGCTGAGACAAAATACCTGAAATGATCAATTGAAAAGGAGTAGAAATTTATTTTGGCTCATGATTTCAGAGGTTTCAGTTCATATAGTTGACTCTTGTGCTTTTGGGCCAGTGGTGAGGCAGCTTATGGCAGGGAACATGTGATGGAGCAGAGCTGCTCATCTTGTGGTGTCCTGGAAACAAAGAGGAAGGGGTCAGAGTCTCACTGTCCCCTTCAAGTGCATGCCACAAAGTGACCTGAAGACATCCCACTAGGCCCCATTTCCTAAAGGTTCCACCATATCCCGTAGCACCACAGGCTGGTGACCCAGCCTTTAACATTTGGGGGACATATGTAACACCAAATCCCATCATTATGTACAACTATAAGGCACCAATAGAAAATGTGGAATAAAGAAAAGATTCAAACCATAACAATCCAACAAAGGAGACAGATGTTGTATGCCTCCTGATGAGGGAATGTAGCACCTCTTATAATCATGCCAAAAGGATTTAACATGTCTCAAATCTTTACATCCAGTTGCCAATCTGCAGGAAGTGCCGAAAAACTTCAGACTATCATGTGTGTGCATTCAGCAAAATCCAGGCTCTGGGAAACTACAGATCAGATGCACCCAGCTTCCTCAAATAGATACCTTGGAAAGGGAAAGATGGGTAATCTGAAGATAAAAAAAGTTTTCAAAATATTTTTAAGTAGCCAAGATTAACCTCCAAAACATTGTGTTAAGAGAAAGAAGTCAGTTATAGATGACATCATCTGTTTATATGAAATATCCAAGATAGGCAAATCTATTTGAGGCAAAAAATAGATTAGTGGTTTTGGGGGCTAGAGCGAGAGAAGGAATGGCAATTAACTGTAACTGGGTATAAGAGATCTTTGGGGGATGATAGAAATTCTTTTTTAATTGGATTGCTATGATGATTGCACAACTCTATACTAAAAATCATTGAGTAAAAAATGAATGTAGTACAAATGGACAACTGGTGTATAGGGATGCACACTTGGGTAATAAAGCTATAATAAACTCTCGGAAGTTATTAGTAGAATAGCAGTATGATGGTTATTTTTGTTGTGTGGGGGGGTTGTGATTTATGATGAACACGGAGACTTTGGGGATGGCTACAAAAAATCTATATCTTGACCAAGTGGACGCTGTAAGACCTCCTTATAAAAGCTTTACTCTTACACACATTTTGGTGGTTTCTGGTATTTTACAATGAAGAGGTTAAGAAAAGAACACAAGATTTCTATTCTAAGCCAGTAGATCAGATCCCCACATATTTCATTCTTTGTCATAGCCATGAGAATATTTCTCATGGGCAAACTCAGGGTAGCCGGGAAAATGGCTCTTTACCCCACAAACGAAAAAGCTAATTCAAAAGAGAGATGTATATTAGTTTAATTTCTTTTGGGTGTACACTGCATAATAAGTGCCATTTGGATCTCAGAACTTTTCCCAAGAATATGTAAAACAACACATAGGCAGTATTTTCTGGAGGGTCCAAAATTGTATAACTATAAAAAAGAAATGAGGGAAGGAGAAAAATTCCCATGCAGTCTGACTTTTGAAGTCCAGGCTTATGAAGAGATCCTGGTCATCTTGTCTGTTCGGGGAATTACCCAGCATCAGAGCAGCCCAGACTTTCACAAATCATAAACATGTTTTACTTTAGTGGTTTTGGATTTCTGGAGTTTTATTGGTGTTGGTGGTGGTATTTTTGTTTGACGACAGGGGTTATTGACTATTTTAGCAAGAATTCTTTCAAAAAATAGAATTCGTTCAGGGCGTCTATAGTTCTACTTTTTATTTTTGTACTAGGGATTGAACCAGGGATGCTTAACCACTGAGCAACATCCCCAGCCATTTTTATTTTAAATTTTGAGAATAGAGTCTAGCTAAGTTGCTTAAGGCCTTGCTAAGTTGCTGAGGCTGGCCTCAAACTTGCAGTCCTCCTGTCTCAGCCTCCTGAGTTATTGGAATTACAGGTGTACACCACTGTGTCCAGCCTCAGTTTCAGCTTCTTGTGGAAACGACTTTTTCTTGCTGTTATTTAGGATATATTAGAAGTAATTGAGCAATAGAAGTATTCTCCCCACTTCTGGGCCCATGGCAGGCAGCTAGCTATATTCCTGTTTTGTTTGTCTGAGGTTGTGTTCAGAGCAGAATTGAGCCCCCTGACATCATTTATTAACATTCTCCCTCAATTTCTTACCTCCCTATTTCTTGTAATCCCACTTCAGCTGAATTCAAAAGGACAGCTCAGCAACAGGAAGATCAAGAAAAAAAGGAAGAAGAGGATGATGAGAAAACAATCCACAGAGCAAGGGAGTGGGATGATTGGAAGGATACCCATCCTAGGGGCTATGGCAACCGACAGAACATGGGCTAATCTTCCCACGACACAACAGGACTTTGGGGCACGTGCCTTCTCTGCCAAGGAAAACCGTGCCGCCTTCCCTTCCCTGGGCTACTGCTTCGGCTGTGTGCAACGAAGGCAAAGATGCTGAATCTTGCTTTGCGTTCAATAAAGTGTCAAACAATTAAGTGTGCATTTGTACCCTAGATAATGACCAGTGATCTTGTTTTGACATTACTAATTCTCATCATGGTGTATTCCGATTTCTTAAGTGGACAGAAAAGAGCACTGAGAAATGGCTCTGTATAATCAATGCTGTAATGAATTATCTTAAATATAATAAAATCCATTCTATTACATGAGGCTGTGCAGAAATGTGGGTATCAGCTCCTTTTTTTGTGGGGGAAGGGGGACAGGGAGGTACATCTGTGGATCTCCTGGCTTATGAAGAGATCCTGGTCATGTCTATTCTGGGCAGGGAATTTCCCAGCATCAGAGCTGCCCAGACTTTCTCCTTCCCACTGGGTACATGATGTGAAATAATCTAACATTCTACTAGGAGAGGGCACAAAAAAACAACAACAACAAAAAAAGAGACTTTCTGTACCACATAGCACTGTTTTCAGGAATTAGAGCTGTAGGTGAATGGATCATAAAGGGTCAGAGTTGCTGGGTGCAGCGGTACACACCAGTAATTCCTGGCAACTTAATCACCAGGAATTGGGATGCATTGGGATGAAATGGGAGCATTGCAAGTTCAAAGCCATCCTGAGCAATTTAACAAGACCCTGTCTCAAAAGGGCTGGGTATGTTGTTCAGTGATTAGGTGCCCCTGTGCTCAATCTACAGTTCAAAAAATAAGGATTAGAATCTTAATCCTACCTACTTTATTTACCTATAGATAAAGCAGTATAAAGAGTCATCCTCTGCCAGGTGTTGCGGTGCACTTCTGTAAACCCAGCAATGAAGAGAGGCTGAGTCAGGAGGTTTCTAAGTTTGAGGCCAAACTCAGCAATTTGGCAAGATACTGCCTCAAAATAAAAAGGACTTTGGATGTAACACAATGGTAAAGTGCCCCTGGGTTCAATCCCCAGTACCAGAAACAAAATCAAAATGAGAGGCTGAGATGGGAGGATACCAAGTTTGAGGCCAGACCAGGTAACTTAGACCCTGTCTCAAAAAGGGAAGGTAGATAGGTAGCACCCCTGGGTTCAATTCCCACAACCACAAAAACAAGTCATTCTTGAATGTGTATGAAGCCAGGGCCTTTCCTCTCATGGAAACAGATCTAACCCTTAAATGTAATAAAATTCATTCTATCGCATGAGGCTGTGCAGAAATGTGGGTATCAGCTCTCTTTTGTGGCGGGTGGGGATAGGGAGGTACATCTATGGATCTCCTGGCTTATGAAGGGATCCTGGTCATCTTGTCTATTCTGGGCAGGGAATTACCCAGCATCAGAGCTCAAAAGTTCAAAAGGGTAAAGAGCAGCCTCAGGTTGTACTCCAGCTCTTAAATTAGCTGCCTTAGACCATTTGGACCCTTCTTGCCATCGAAACTGGCAGCTTAGTAAATGCACCATGATGGTTTGGGCTGCTTAGTGAGGTACCTTCAGTCCTGCTGGTAACTGGGTGTGGAGGACTGGAAGGGCACAGATGACACTGAAAGGTATTGACTCTGGGTAGAGAAAAAAGAGTGTCCTCAGCTCTGGGGTTGATATCCTATAAAAGCAGCCATATGTTGAAACAAATGATCTGCATAGAAAACATACTTTTGTTCTGTGGCTTTGGTACACTTAGAGTTTCTTTGGAGAGGAACATGACTCAGCCCTCCTATTCTAGCTTCAGCAGTCTAGTTTAGGAGAGGGGTTTGAAAAGGAGATTCAGTTCCCTTTTGTTTATAGGATGGCAAGTAGAGAGTGCTGTCAGGTGATGAGGAGGAGGTTGTGTTTCGTGGGTGGTGACAGCAAGAAGACTACCAGTAATATATTTGTATACTGCTTAATAAAGGACTCATCTCACCCTCACACACAAGCTCCTGAAAGTGGTAGAGCACAGATTCAATCCCCTGTGGATCTACAAAGCAAACAGTGTTTTCAGCTCTTTTCCAGTTGTCAATGTGCCTTTAGCCATGGACTGTTTCTTGCTCTCAAATTTCCCCCTGAGTTCATTTCCAAACCGGGCCAGGTTGGGATCACCCTTTGGTCTAGGTCCATTTAAGATTGGGCTTTCCAGAAGGTCCATCTTAATTAAACCCTTTCACACATTCTGATACCCAAGAGGAAAACTGGACAAAGTGGGTTGGAATCCTGATAACCAAATCTAGTCTCCATCTCTTATAGCTTTGTTATTTCAAGAATGTGCTATAATGGGGCATGGTGGTGCATGCCTGAAATTCCACCTACTCAGGAAGCAGGAGGATCATAGTAGGTTCCAGACCAGCCTGGACAACTTAGTGAGACCGTCTCAAAAAATACATTTTTAAAAATATTTCTTTAGCTGTTGTTGGACACATGCCTTTATTTTATTTATTTTTATGTGGTGCTGAGGATCAAACCCAGGGCCTCACACATGCTAGGCGAGCACTCTACCACTGAGCCACAACCCCAGCCCCCCCCCAAAATAAACCTTAAATAAAAGAACTGGGGGGGTATGTTTTGGTGGTAGAGCATTCAATCCCCAGTACCACAAAGAAGGAAAAGGAAAGAAAAGAAAGAAGAAAACAAAAACAACTCAGAACTGTCTTTTCCTGGGTGTATGTATGGGGCAGTGAGAATTCAATGAATAATGGTAATCTTTATAATAAACTCTGGCAACTGAAGTGTTCCTGTTGGTATCAGCTCAATGACTGATTCATACAATGACCCTGCAAAGGCGGTAGCCTTATTCCAATTTTACGAAGAAACAGTTCAGAGAAGCTGAGTGATTTCCTCAAGTTCGCACTGCAAGACTATGCTTCCGTCATTTTCCATGTGTCTTCCAATTGCTTGTGCTTTTAGTTATGTCTCTTAAAGCCAAGTGGGAGTGCTTTAAAAATCCCAACTAAAACCACCACTTCTACACCAGAGGAGCTCTGCAAATTCCTCAGGAGCTGACTCACCAAAGGAAAACCAGTTAGGCCAGCTCCCCGGCCCCTGCTCCCCCGCCCCTGCCCCCTCAGCTGGGAGCTCTGATGCTGAGGAGGCTGTGAGCAAGCCTGGCTCCCTCCATTCTCCCCAGTTCCGTCTGCCCAGAGGCCTGACTGCTGGAAACCAAAAAAGCACCACCTTCTCTACTCCCACCAGAGCTAGTCCTTTCAGGGTCCTAGAGTGAGCTGGGTTTCATGAACTCCTCAAAGCTTTCAACAGAACTTCATAGCTAGTGTGAAGCTTTCAAAGCTGCTTATTATGCATACTTATTGGCATATCTGCATTTATAATTTTATACATGCTGCCTAATACATTCTCACAATTCTTGAGGCTAGTTATATATGATATCTCCATTTTCCAGAGGGAGAAACTGGATCTGGGACATGAAGTCAGTGACATTCTTCAGTCACAGAGCTAAGTAGAGCATGCAAACATATGAGTTTAGTCAAAATATGTGCACTCTGTGCTCTGGCCTGGAGGTGAGAATTAGATTTGGAAAAGTTGAATGTGAGGCTTTATTTATTTAATTTCATTTTAAAGCCCCCAAAACTGGAGTTAAAGAGTCCTGATTTAAAGTCTCAGTTCTCCAGATATGCCACTCCCAAACTGGGTGACCCTGAGCAAAGACTGCACTTCTGTTTTAAATAACAGTTTGAGGTCAGGGGTGGAGTCACACACATGCCTGTAATCCTAGCAACTTGGGGGCTGAAGCAGGAGGATTGCAAGTTGGAGGCCAGCCTCAGCAATGTGGTGAGAGATTCTGTTCCAAAACAAAAACTAAAAAAGGTTGGGGATGTAGCTCAGTAGTAGAGCACTTCTGTGTTCAATCCCAACTAGTGGGGGTGAGGGGAAATAATAATAATAGTATAATATAAACAACTTCAAAAGAGGGGAAATTTTGAAAACAAAGCCACCTCTCTGTTATCTGAACTCCAGAAAGTCCTGGACTTGGCTCATGAGCCCTACAGGCACTTTGCCCCCATCTCTGTCAAGTACCCTACTGCAATACCATATTGTTAACACTCTCTCCTTGCACAACAGCTGTCATCAACACCTACACAGCATTTCCTCACAGATTCCTTTCAACCCACTGAAGCCAAGGCTCAACTCAACCCGGCACAGTTCACTCATGTTCCATAACAAGGTGATATGGGCTCTAGTCCCAGCTCTGTCTACATTCTCCCTGGGTGAGTTCCATCTTGCCTCCAGATTTCCTGATCATGTGTGTGCTGATAGCAATCACTAAACCTGACCTTTCCCCCCCACCCCAGGTCCGACCTGACCTTTCCCCCCCCCCCAGGTCCTACCATCTGCTATCCTATTTCTCTTAATGAACAAACAGAACTCGAATTCAACATCCCACCCCAGCCCTCTCTCTCCATCAGAGTTTCTTGTGTCCCAATCACCTTCTTGGTGCTCATCCTGAAAAGCTCAGCATTGTTTCTGGTTTCTTCCTCCTGACAAAGCAAGCATTCAAATGTTTGCTGAATGAATGACCAAATGAATGAGTCCGATTATGAATCACACTTCTTCATCAGGCAGATTCACAATAATCCAGCCTCTTTCTTTTCATATTCAAACAACTTTACATAAAAGAAAACTCAGAATCCCTTCACCTTAAAGCACCAGTCATTTCTCTCTCAGACTGATAGATCATTTCAGTCTCTCACTGAAGAGACCACTTTTTTCACCAAGCATATTCACAGTAGAAGTCTGCTTTAGATTCTGCTTTTAAAGCTTGGCTTATAACTCTCAGTCTGCCCTACAATAATTTTAGTGACTTTTAATGACTGCAGATTAGTCTATAATGTGGTTATATAATCACTTACTTAATCAGACCCAGATTTTGAACACTTAGATTGTTTCCTTGATTTTACTCCTTGCTTCTTTATTCGTTTAACAAAGTAAATGACCTTGTTTGCTTGAGTACAGATAAAATAAACCTGAAAGAGAAAAAAAAATATCCCTGGAGTAGGAGGAATGTTGGGTTGGTCCAGGCCAGGGAAGAAGAGTTTTCACCCTTTTAAATTTGGAATCATGTGGATATCCTGGCTATAAAAAATATGCCAAAAGTGTCCTGTCTATAATGCATTGCCCTAAAGTTGGCTATAGACTTAATTCCCTGTTATGTGCTCTCCCCAAAATATAGATAATGTACCTTGAGAATCTAGAGGAGAGAGCAGAGTCTCAGGGAGTGACATTTTCACTGAGTCTTGAAGGAGGGATTGGAGTCAGTCAGGCTAAGAGACTGCCTTGGGCTAAGGCCCAGAAGAGGAAAGGACATTTCCTGGTTGGGTATAGAGACTGTATCTGATGTGGTATGAAATTGAGTGGAAATGAGACTTTTGTGTGTGCTGGGGCCCCAAAGAAAATGGCATGTTTCCCACTCCTGAACCTGTTGGAGTCCATTGTCAATCCCATTCCCACAGCTAAATACTGGTACCATGAAATAGCTCCCAGTGGGTAGGCCTTGCACAGGCTGAGAGGCTTCTCAGACATTATCACTAATCCTTGCAGCAAACAAATATGATAGATTCTTTTACAAGACAAGGAAACCAAACTTTTTTAATTGAGCTGAAATTACAATACCTAGACCTCCAAGGTCACACAGCTTTCTCTTCCATCTCCTTTGTAATTTTCTAATGACCTCCATCCTTATATAGATGATGTGTACACTTCTTTCTTTATCTTCCTATGCCCATGACCCAAAACACACACAATTGTAAACCTAATACAATACCAGACTTCTGGTGCATAGGGCCTCAATAAAAATGTGTTGAATGGAGAGATTATGTATGGACTTTCTATAGTACTTGGCCTGGTACCTGGCATTAAATAGATTCTCCTTTAACTTTATTTGTTGGGGGGCAGTACTGGGGATTGAACTCAGTGGCACTCAACCACTGAGTCACATCCCCAGCCCTATTTTGTATTTTATTTAGAGACAGAGTCTCACTGAGTTGCTTAGCACCTTGCCGTTGCTGAGGCTGGATTTGATCTCACAATCCTTCTGCCTCAGCCTCCTGAGTTGCTGGGATTACAGGCATATTCCACCACACCTGGCTAACTTCTTCAATTGAGCTGAAATTACAATATCTAGACCAATAAGGGTATGACAGAGGGAACAGATTAGAAGAAAACAAATTATGGCACAACCTCAGCTATTCAATGTTTTCTGGAAATGAATCATTCAGAAGGCTGACCTTGAATCCAGGAAGAAGAATCCTGGGGCTTCTCTATTCAGTGCTACCCTTACTTCTCCCAGGCATTTTGAGCTCCCTGATCCTTTAGTCTTCTTTTCCTTCTACTTTCTTCCTTTCTTATTTTTGTTTGGCTGTTGCTCCTTCAAAATTTCTTTGTGGTCCACCTTATCCCAAGTTGCAATTCCTTCCAGTTGGCCAAATCATTGCCATCTTTCTTGGACTGTCCTTCTGTAGACCTTTTCACCCCACTGCAGCGTCGTCTCTTCCACAGGGTCTTCCCTGATTACCCTGGAGTTGGTGGGTGCTTCTTTCTTCTTCGCACTCCACAGCACCCTGAGCAGGTGTATATCTTCCATCTACTTCCCACACTAGTATATGGGTTTCTTTTTTTTCTTTTTTGGCACTGGGGATTGAATCCAGGGGTGCTCTACTACTGAGTTACATCCCCAGCCCTTTTTATTATTTTTAAAATTTTGAGACAGATCTTGCTAAGTTGCCAAGGCTGGCCTAGAACTTTTGATCCTCCTGCCTCAGCCTCCTGAGTCTGGAATTATAGGTGTACGCCACCAAACCTGGCTGAATTGTGAGTTTCTTCGAGATGCAAATCATGTCATCCTCAAACAGTTGCAAATGAAATTGACAGATCTTTGTGCTTCATGACCACCTTTCTTTCATTTCTGCTTACTTTGCCAAGTTTTGGTTGGTTGGTAGAAATGAAATTGGAAAATCCTGAGTGCTAGAGGTTTAGGGTTTCTCTGTGGTTCTGCTTCTCTTCTTCCTGCTCTATTTTCCCTGCTGCTTATGTCACACTTGTCCATCAGGCTTAAGAGTGCTCCAGCTCAGCCAGCATGTTTGGGGCACCAGGAGTTCTGATCTCCCTTATCGGTTCCACAAGAAATTACTTGAGCATCTTCTCTGCACCAAGCCCTGAGCCCAATATTAGGAAAACAGAGACAGAAAACAGTCTGGCCTGCCCTGCCTCTGGCTCCAAGTGTGACCTTGAGCCCTTTCTAGATCTCCCCCATTTGCCTCCCTGAAAGTGGAGGGGAAGGGAAACCTGTTCTGTAAGGGGTTTGGAGCTCTTGACATCGTAGGTCTGTCCTGGGTATTCCAGGCCCCTCCATATCTGCTTTCTCCTAGAAGACCCAGGCCTTCCTCTCTTACCTCTTTCCTGTCTCCCTTGAAAATTCTGAGCAGACATATCCCAACACATCTCCCTCTCTATGTAGCACTAAGAAGCAGCTTGAGAACCCCAGCTAGCTCAGGAGGGAGAAAAGAAAGAAGAGGAAGAAAGGAAGCCATGGCATGTCAGGTGGCCTTGTAAGGTACATGGGGGAATGGAACACCCTGACATACCAAAAAGTTCTCTAAGCTCAATTTTGATGAGTCATGTTAATCATTCTAATCAGGGAGGCCAAACCAGAGTGGGAGATGACAAGATAGAACTGTGATTATTTTTCCCGGAAAGGGATAAGGCATCAATGTCCCTTGCACTCAAAGAACACTTGATATTACTTTTCCATTTGATTTTCTCAGTAACCCTTTCAGTTACATTTAACAATTTTTTTTTTAGTTCTGTGTTTATTTAATGCCTTAGGCTGGGAACACTGGCCTCTTCTGTAGGACACATCACAAACTCCAGTGTGTAGACATTTTGTTGTGATTTTTGCTTTGTTTTGTTCTTGATATTAGACATGGAACTCAAGGGCTCTCTACCACTGAGCTACATCCACAGTCCCTTTCATTTTTTGGTTTTAATGTCTGTCTCCTCCACTAGGCTGTAAGTTCAATAAAGGCAGGAACCATGTCTGTTTTCATCCCCCATTTAATCCTCAATATGTAACAGTGCCTTGCAAACAGTAGTCACTCAATAAATAGAGACCAAAAAAAGTAAATCCAAAGGACTGGGACCTGGGAGCCATCTTTGATTTTCCAAAGTCTTGTGTGCTGAATAAAGCCTTTTAACCTGAAACATAGTAGTTTTTCATTAGCCATGAATTAAATTAAATGAACAATAAAAACAGGAAACACTTATATAGTGCCTCCTGTGTACCATGCTCTGTGCTAAGCACTTTACATTCATTCACTCATTTAATCCTTAGTAAAACCCTGTTAAGTAAATATTGTAATTATCCCCATTTTATAGATGGGGGAAATCAAGGAATAGTGGTTCACCAACTTGTAAGTGACAGAGCTGAGATTTGAACTCTAGCTGTCTGGCTCTAAACTCCATGATCCTAACCACTATGCTGCCTTTCAACAGCAAATGCTCACAGGGAGCATTAGAGAGAGAGACCAATTTCCAAAGGGAATTTTCACAGGTGCAGCTAGGCCTGGAAGCTAGTCTGCTCTCTGTGCAATGCTCCTCCCACTCAGCCATACTGGATCTGGCTGCTGATACATAGCCTCTGGGAATGGAGGCACAAAGAGAGATGGGAGAAGTCTAATTATTTGTGCAGAAAAACAGTCTTAGGTAGACTAGGAAGCTCTCAGCAGAAGAACCATAGCAGCCACTAGGGCAGAAACAAATATGACTACCAGGTCCCTTGTCTTTAAAATATATATATATATATATATATATATATATATATATATATATATATATATATTTATTTATTTTTGCAGTACTAGGGATTGAAGCCAGGGGCACTCTGCCACTGACCTACATCTCAAGCACTTTTCAAATTTGGAGACAGGGTTTTGCTAAGTGGTCAAGGGTCTCACTAACTTGCTAAGGCTGGCTTTTAACTTGCAATACTTTTGACTCAGCCTCACAAATTACTGATATTATTGGCATGCACCACCATGCCCAACTACCAGGTCCCTTTCTTGGAGCAGGGATAGATGGTGGGCTTCTTTTCAGAAGTCCTTGATTGAGGCCTAATCTGGTCTTTGTGCACTCATTTATCACACATGACCTCACCACAGATAAAGCCATCCAAGGCCATTTCTGCCACATTTAAATTGGGCATACATGGAGAAAGGAAACCTATTGGAGAGATGAGATAGTCTGACCTGCAACCAGATATGTGTAGGAAGTTGGGGTGGGGCCTCAAATAAGTAGTGAACTGGAGGAAAGGTGTGGTCAAGGCTGACAAAACTCCTGCAGTTAAGTGATAAGAGATTATAGCAAAGCATCTATAATCAACTCAGCTTAAGAAGTTCAGAGCTTCTGGTTGGGCTTCTTGCCACAACAGAACAGCACTGTGACCATGACCTTTTTCTCCAGGCTAAATCTTCAGGAGGGCCTCCAAACCCTCTCTGTTATGCAGTGGATTCCAGTCTATTTTATTTTAGGTGAGTGAATTCCAAGGGCTGGGAAGCATATGGGAGCACATCAAGAGGTCAGACACCCCCAGATGAGGAGGGTTCCGATGTGATCATCTGATTGTTCTGCCCCATCATGGGGGGAAGGACTGGACTGGTGGCACAAAGGCCAAGAGTGAGGCTATGGCTTTTCTTGTTTAAAAGAGTATTTCATCCTTCTTAGGAGCTGTCCCCTATTAAGCAGGCTGAAAAGAATCACATTTGGGCATAGGACAGAGGTGGTGGTGGCTTGCAAAGCTGATATTACTAGGAAGACATGAAGTGATTTTCTAGTATGAGACTGGAGAGAGAGAATTGTGAAAAACCCAGGGCTACCTTAGTAACTCATTGAACAGAATTTTGAGAAAGGACCAATTGTTTGGTGGACTGAGGGCACAACAGTCATCAATGCGGAACAGATGGGCTGACAGACACAAGCTCTGGCCAGCTAGAAACCAGGGCTTTGTGGGATATCAATTAGAGGGCCAAGCCTGGAAACAGGATGAGAAAAAATAATGTCATTCTGAAGGATAAACAGGTAGAAAACAGCTGGCTCCAATCCATGGGAGGCTATATGACCCCTTAGAACAGAGGATCTTAACCAGGGGTCTGCAGACCAAGAATTTGAGGGTAATTACAGGACTTTGAATTTGGCTTGAAAGAAATACATTTTTTCCTTTCACTAACCTCTAGTGGAAATGGAGCCTATCCTTTGATGATGAATGTAGGCAATAAACCCCAGAAGTGTCAGCAGCCCCTGTGTCTTTGTAAACAGCAGACACCACAGAGATTTGCATTTCATATTAAAGTTGTTACAGGCATCTTGAAATTTCATTTATGCCCATGACTGCTTCAAAATTCCAGTAGTTATTAGAAAGACTGATAGATCTGGTTATTTATGCATAAACCAAGAAATCCATATTGGTTACTAATATCATATTTTGAAGGAATATTGTGATAACTGTATTTTAATATAATGGGCTACTTTTGTATGTATGTGAACCTTATTTTGTGCATTTAAAAGTTTTTTTTTAGTTGTAGATAGACACAATACCTTTATTTATTTATTTATTTAAATATTTATTTTTTAGTTGTAGGTGGACACAATACCTTTATTTTATTTATTTATTTTTATGTGGTGCTGAGGATCAAACCCAGGGCCTCCCATGTGCTAGACGAGTGCTCTACCACTGAGCCCCAGCCCCAGCCCCTCCTTTATTTATTTTTATGTGGTGGTGAGGATTGAACCCAGTGCCTCACATGTGTTAGGCAAGCGCTCTGCCACTGAGCCATAACCCCAGCCCTATTTTGTGCATTTAAAAATATTTTTCAGAGAAGAAGTCCATAAGCATCCCCAGGTTTCCAGGGAGGTTCATGGCACCCCCAAAAGATAAAGATTTATTATACCTTATTAAAAAGGAAATTCTCTACTTGGGAGGCTAAGGCAAGAGGATAAAAAGTTTGAGGCTAGCTTTGGCAACTTAGGGAGATGCTAATTCAAAATAAAAGATAAAAAGGGCTGGGGATGTAACTCGGTAGTAGAAGCACCCTTGGATTCAATTGCCAGTGCCACAAAAATAAAATAGATAGATGATAGATGATAGATAGAGAGATAGACAGTAAAATGGAATCATGCCTGAACTCATCAATGGTTTGACTCTAGCTGTAAAAAGAAAAGAAAGTTAATTTTTGTAAACTTATTTGTTTATAGTTTTTCAGTTTCTTTTTGTTTTCCTTTGCATTCTGCCTTAACTTCCTCAAAGAGACCCCTTTGCTAAGTTCCAGTTCCAGCTAGAAAAGTGAGTGGCAAGGGAATTTCCTAAGAGACTTGGTATAGCACTAGCAGCCATCATTTCAAGTCTGGAACCCCAAAAGAGTGAGCAAATAGAGGCGAGAGAGCAAGGGAAAGAGGTCAGGAGAGGAAGAGCTAAGGGCTGGGGGCGTGGCTCAGTGGCAGAGCACTTGCCTGACTTGCCCTAGGTTCAACCCCCAGCACCTCAAAACAAAATAAAAGTTAAAAATAGGAGAGAGGGGCTGGGGATGTGGCTCAAGTGGTGGCGCGCTCGCCTGACATGTGTGTGGCCCGGGTTCGATCCTCAGCACCACATACCAACAAAGATGTTGTGTCCGCCGAGAACTAAAAAATAAATATTAAAAAAATTCTCTCTCTCTCCTCTCTCCTCACTCTCTCTTAAAAAAAAAAAAAAGGAGAGAGGAGGAGCTGTGGATCCTTTTAGGCTCATGGTCTCTTCTACACAGGAAGACCTTAATATAATACTTGAACACAAATGCCCAGATTATCTTGGTCTTCTGGGGTGGCTCTCCTTATTAAAACAGTCTTATTTTTCTCCCAGAAAAATCACTACTTCCTGAAGTACTTTTTCTTATATTCCTTTTCCCCTTTCAAAGGACACTGTCTCTGGGCAGGGAAAGAACTGAGGCACTATCAGGCAACTGAATAGGTAAGGGACCAAGAAGGTGAGGGTTAGCCTTCTTCATGCTAAATCTCTCCAGCTTCCAGTGGTCCTGGAAGAGCTGGAGGACCGGAGTGGGCATGTTAGGGACACATGATGGCATGGTTGTGTCATCAGTGAAATCACATAATTATAAATGTGAACGTTGTCTTTTGCCTACATTTTAAAGGTTATTTTTTATTGTGATAAAATACACAGAACAGCAAATTTATCATTTTAACCATTTTAAAGTTTACAGTTCAGTAATGTTCAGTACATTCACCATCAATCATCTCCTGAATTTTTCATTTTCTCAAACTGAAAATCTGCATGTGTTAAACACTAACAACCCAATTTCCTCTCCTTCCACTACTTGCAACTACCGTTCTCCTTTCTGTATATGAATTTGCCCATTCTAGGTACCACATGTAAGTGGAATCATACAGTATTCATCTTTTTGACTGACTTACTTCACTTAGCATAATGTTATTAAGATTCATCCATATGGTAGCATATGTCAGAATTTCCTTTTTAAAAAAAAATTAAGGGGCTAGGGTTGTGACTCAGTGGTAAATCGCTTGCCTTGCACATGTGAGGCACTGGGTTCAATCCTCAGTACCACTTAAAATGAATAGACAAAGTAAAGATATTGTGTCCATGTGTAGCTAAAAAATATTTTAAAAAATTTAAGACAGGTTCTTGCTATGTTGCTAAGGTTGGCCTCAAATTCAAGATCCTCCTGCCTCAGCCTCCCAAGTAGAGAATTTCCTTCCTTTATAAAGCTAAATAATATTACCTTATATGCATACACTAAATATTGTCTATGCATTCATCCATTGATAGATACGTCTGCCTCTTGGCTACTTTAAATAATGCTGCTCTCAACATGACTGCTTAAACTGAGTGGGATGGCACATGCCTGTAATCCCAGCAACTCACGAGGCTGAGGCAGGAGGATTGCAAGTTCAAGGCCAGGCTCAGCAACTTAGTGAGATCCTAAGCAACTTAGTAAGATTCTGGCTCAAAATTTAAAAAAAAAAAAATAAAAAGGGTTGAGGATGTAGCTCAGTGGTGAAGTGTCCCTGGGTTCAATTTCTAGTATTGAAGGGGAAAAAAAACATAGGTACATAAAAATCTCCTGAAGACTCTGATTTTCTGCTTTCAATTTTAATTCTCCACATCCTCAGCAGCACTTTTTTTTTTGGTGCTGGAGATTGAACCCAAGAGCACTTTACCACTGAGTTATATCCCCAGACCTTTATGGTTTTTGAGACAGGGATCTCACTAAGTTGCTTAGGGTCTCATTAAGTTGCCAAGGCTGGCCTTGAAGTTGTGATCCTCCTGCTTTAGCCTCCAAGACACTTGGATTACAGGTACATATCACCACAAGCAGCTATAACCATGCTAATGGGTATGAAATGATATTTGTGTTTTTTAAAATAATGGGTATGAAATGATATTTGTGTTTTTTAAAATAGTTTTTTAGTTGTAGATGGACACAATATCTTTATTATTTTATTTGTTTATTTTTATGTGGTGCTGGGGATCAAACCCAGTGCCTCACACGTGCTAGGCAAGAGCTCTACCACTACCACTAAGCCACAACCCCAGCCCTTCATTGTGGTTTTGACTTGCATTTTTCTAGTGATTAGTGATGCTAAACATCTTTTCATGTGCTCTTTATTTATTTATTTAGGTACCCAGGATTGAACCCAGGGCCCCTTAACCACTGAGCTACACCCCCAGCCTTTTTTTATTTTTTAACTTGAGACAGGGTCTTGCAAGTTGCTTGGGGCCTCGTTAAATTGCTGAGGCTGGCTTTGAACTTGCAACCCTCCTGCTTTAGCCTCCTGAGCTGCTGGGATTACAGGCATGTGCCACCATGCCTGGCTCTTGATTTCTTTTAGATTTATTATTATTCCATTTGGCTTTCTCTACTAGTTTGTATGTTAAACATCCTGATTCTGTTCATTTAGTGATTATTCTAGATATTAGAAGAATCCTGGGTCTTGGCGAGTACCAAATTAGCTATGTCATCTACAAGGTGTGATGTCTACAGAGATTAAAATCTGTTCTCCAATAGTTATAGAGCAAGCACTAAATATAAGTAAGACCTTGGGCTGCCTTTTCTGAGACTACAAATGAGTTAATTACATGTTCTTTACTATCTAGTAACAGAGATAAATGAATCATTCATTCTAACATTGTGCATAGTTTATATGCCAGTGCTGGACACATACACAAATCACTAAAATGTCAGATAGGCTGTGGTAAGCAAAAGAAAGAGCCATGATAAAGTGATATTAGGGTGTCAGGGAAAAATATTACAAATGGTTGAGTGGATCAGGAGAGTCAGGAAAGGAAAGAAATGATGTGGTTAAATAGGACATGAATTAGCTTGACACTATTTTTTTTGGGGGGGGGGTTATAGGTTATATTTGAAGAACTTGAAACTAAATTGATAGTCTGTCCATATTCCTTCTTCCTAAGCAGAAACCTTTAAGTTCAACTCTTGTTCTTTTTTCTCTTCTTTACACA